ATTTCATAGCAAAATAAAAAAATGATATTAAACTAATCTTTCAAACATAGTTTAAAACAAAAATAAATATTAGGACAGAGCCCTACAAATAACAACCATAAACATAATAATAAAACAATTAAAATGTTGTATTCAGCCCTGATTAAAACAGCAGGCCCAAATCCTGGATGGGCGGGCCGGCCCCATGGGACCCGCCCATGACGCCGGGTCTGAATACATGGAAACTTGACATGCTGATGGAGTACTAAGAAAGGTCAAAGGCTCACCGAAGTCAGCACAATTAATTCTCCAGTGACAATATACCAAAGATCATGGCAACCCAATCAAGNGGGGGGGCGTGGTCAGCTGCAGCTCATTTGCATTAAAGCTACGTCACAGAATTAGCCCCCTGCAAAGACAGGGCTGGAAAAGAGCAAATAGAGCGAAATGAGGCATGGCTAAAATGGAGGATCTGTTTGGTATTTTGAAAAACTATATTTATATACTTTATATAGGTATGGCCCTACAATATATTGTTCAAATATAGCATGATAGGTCCACTTTAAACCATTTTTTACAGATGAAATTCAACTAGCTATCTGTTTACTTTTTCTACAACTAGATTGAGATGGGATTAAACCCTCTAACCTCACAAAACACTACATGAAGTACCTAACAATGTACACTCGCTGGCCTCTTTATCAGGTACACCTCTACAATCTTTGCAAATCCTTTTACAAAACAAATCCATTTTTATTTTATTGGTTAACACTATCGCAGGCCGTATGGGGTATTGTTGTTGTTTGGGTTGTTGTTAATGTCAACAATTCTTAATCTTTAAACTTTGTAAAAAGTACAATTAATGACAGTGCTGTTGTATTGGATTGCATTAGATTTTGTCTTATGAGGCCGGTGAGTTTTGATACATTTATTAAACTAAAAGGTTTTTGTTTACTTAGCAAACTAAAAAGCCTGATACTACGAAGGGGTTACAATAATTAATCTAAGCCAACATTATTCAATACAAAATACAGCCTTTTTGTAACCTTTCTGATGAATATGTTTTATAACTTAAAATGGGTTATAAAAACCCATTTGAAGTTATGTCTCCACAAGTCAACACTGTGGAGACATTTTGTTTTTTAACTCTTTAATGTAGTGCAGCTAAAATAATTAATTTAATAATATACTATAATCCTACTGTTTATTTCCAGGTTTTCCAGTGAGCAGACAGTGCACATTTTCGTAACAATCACTTAACGTCTTATAAAACAAAGTATGACAGTAGCTCTATAAGAACACAAGATTAGTTGGGTGTTAAACTAAGATGCATTACGCTGGTCCCTGCACCTCCAGCCATTTAAGAGGAGGAACCTTCTTACATAACATGACCATCATGCTTCTAATGAGCTAGTACCACTAGCATTGGCAGTATGTGAATTGAGCTGCTAGTCTGGTGTCCTCTCCCCCCTGCCCCCTTACAATTCGATTAATTAATGGAGCAAATTGTTATCTAACCAGGTCTGAGGTGTGTGTGCCAGCTTTGCACCAACCACACCTGTGAGACGGCCGCAGACGGCGCCTGCTGGAACTCTGTGATGCTGATCGAGGGGAAGGAGGAGACGGTGAAGTCGTGCCTGTCTCCCTCGGAGATGAAGGGTCAGGTCTTCTGCTACAGCTCTCGAAATGTCTCCAAAAGGAACTGCTGCTTCACTGACTTCTGCAACAATGAGACTCTGCACCTGCAGCCAGGTACGGCCACCATGATGGTTCTGAAATGATGCAATCGTTGGTTGTCTTTAATGGATGAATCCTATTTTAAAGGTCACCTATTATGCAAAATCCACGTTTTCATGTTTTTTTTACATAAACATGTGTCCCCTCTGCTTAAAGAGATTCTGAAAGTTTCAGGAAAAAAGATTCGCTCACTTTTGGTCCTGATCCATTTATATAAAAACCTGTCTGAAAATGAGCTGATCAGATTTTTGCCACTTTATGATGTCACAACGATTTGCTAGAGCACCATTGTGTTTTTTTTAACCAAATATCCTGCAGAGGGGCATTGGGAGTGGCTCCTTATTTTCATCTAAAGTAACAGACCCAGGGGACCTTTAAAACCATAAAGATTTTACCTGAAGTTGGAAAAGAAAAAAAGAGACAGAAATAATAGATAAATAATTTCCTCAGACAGTGACTCGGACGACGTCATATTTCTCGATTATTTTTTCGACAACAGCAGCACAACTGTTGGATTTCTCAGTTATTCCAGCCCTGGCTAGACGATGTGGATGCTGATCCGACTAGATCCTGTGACATAACAAAATCCTGCGGGGTTGAAGGGACAGTGGTTAGGAATTTCTCCCCCTCCCATCACTGATTTATAAATAAATGCTGCGTCAGCACATGTGGTCGTGCTGCCTCATGGGCCATCTGTCCAGAAGTTGTCCTTCAAAGCAGAGGGGGAGTATTTACACCTTTGAGTAGACAATTTAGCCGAGTGCACTTTGAGGTTGGAGTTACACTAAACATTGGGAACATTGTGGGTTTTTTGTGCTACACTGCTGCGATACATACATGTGTTTATCCGGTTCGAGCCCATGGCAATTTAAATGCTGTGTATAGGCCCACTAGCTTAAAAACACACACATTTGAGATAAAGATGTCACTGCAGTAGTTGGAAAGGGATTGAAATAGCAGCTAAGATACCTAATCAAATCTGAAAAGTTTGATGTGAAGGATTGATTGTCTTTTTAAGTTACAAGCAAGTTACTTGAACAATTATATCCATTATCATAAAATAGTGAAAGTGAAGTCTTCAAATGTTCTGTTTTCTTTAATTAACAATCTCAAGGGCATTGATATTCATTCCTGTTACATGATACAGGATGACAGTAAACAGGAAATGTTATGGATATTGCGCGATACATTATTAAGCATGACCAATTATCTATCTGATCAACTAGTCAATTAATCGTCCTGCTGTTCCAGCTCTAATCAGCAGTCTTTCTTTGTAAAGGTATACAAAGAAACAAAAATGTGTTAAAAATCTATTCAGGTTGGGCACCCACAGTAATCGTACAAAAGGTTAACAATGTGGTCTAGTGAGAGGGCTTTATTTGAAACAACAGACACAAAAGGAATAACAATGGAACATGGAAAGAAAAGAAGAGTTTCATCCCCCACTTATTTAAATTCACCTTAATTAATTAGAGTCAGATGGCTGCGTAAATCAAATGTAGAGGTGACACAGGAGGTTTGAAGTGCAACATACTGCAGACTCCAGCTGTGATGGTGTGGACTGTGAATGAGAATCAATCTGTTCCTTTGCTAAATATCAGACTATGACTTCATCCAGTGTGCTATTTATTTTATAAACACAAAGAGGTGATATCTGTTTGTGTCTGCGACTTCTGCACTTGCAGTTAAAGATTACGTTATGTAGTTTGTGTTTTTCATAGATCTAATTTCGCCTTAATTGTATTCATTGTTATTCCTCAATCTCACGTTTGTGTGAATGGTGCGTTAAAGCAACTGCTTTAAAGAAGAAATTACTGCTGAGATGCCTTTCTTGTCAATTATGCAGTAGCAGTTTATAGAAGATACAGTATTTTGCAACTGGGCCAGAGGAGAGTAGAGTGTTGTTTTTAAGGTCATGTGTAATGTCAAGTCATGATGGGCTCGAGTTGGACACAAGGACAGGATCTGTATTTAGGTAAAAGGTTAAAGAGGTCTTATGAAACTGTGGTTTAGTTCAGGACGTGTTGCTTTGCACATCTGCAGATGTTGCATGTTTGAATCCCTCATGGTGTGGACATTTTATTCCTTAGGGATAGGAGAAGATAAAAAGGGCTGAAGAAACATAAATTAGGGCTGCATTAATGATGTTGAAACTGTTTGTTGGAAGTGTTATACGTTCCTGAAATTATTCCTGAGGTTAATATGAAAGCTATAGCAATCAAAGTTGGCCATTTCAAAGTTTGGTTATGCTACAATGCTCTCACAGTGTTCACTCTTTGAATCTCATATTATTGTAGCGCTCACCACCTCTGCTATTTTGTTTGTGTCCACGTCTCACCTGTCCACCCACACACAGAATGAAGGTCAGAGATAAAAAAAAAACACCAGGTTACATTATTTTTCCAAACCCACTACTTATTCACAGTGAGGTTGTTGATCAGTCACTTATCTCTTCATTACATTTAAGTAATGACATTTATGTGCAATAATAAATTGTTCTGATGCTTTGGCAGACTAAACTTTGCATCTGCCAAATATACAATTTCCATCCCTCTAAATTATACGATGTTGGACAGCTTTATTTTGCTGTGCTTGTGTTAAGGTCAGAAGAGCTTTTCTTTGTATTTCAGTACATCAGCACATTTTGGCAGTAGTTTTGCACCACTGATAAATGATTGTCCACTAAGATTAAGAAGATTAATTCACTCTCTCTGAAACACAAAAAAAATATTATTCACCACCAGAGGGTGCAAGCTCACTCACAATCAACTGATTATTTGCCCATAGAGATAGATTATAGGGAACAATGATTGATATGCTAACAATGTTGGCTACATCGTGTGTGTGTGTGTGTGTGTGTGTGTGTGTGTGTGTGTGTGTGTGTGTGTGTGTGTGTGTGTGTGTGTGTGTGTGTGTGTGTGTGTGTGTGTGTGTGTGTGTGTGTGTGTGTGTGTGTGTGTGTGTGTGTGTGTGTGTGTGTGTGTGTGTGTGTGTGTGTGTGTGTGTGTGTGTGCGCGCAGAGAGGCCTTTGGAGGAGCCGGGCTGGAGCCGGCTGCAGCTGGCTGCGGTGATCCTGGTGCCCTCATGCCTGATGTGTGTGGGGGTCCTGCTGGGTGTGGTGGTGGTCCAGAGCCACTGCTGGGCCCACAAGCAGGACCTGGAGGAACCTCTGGATGACCAGATGTTGATGTCATCTGACAAATGTCTCAAAGACCTCATCTACGACATGAGCACATCGGGCTCTGGATCAGGTAAGAGAGATGGCGCTTATCTGATATAATGACCCATACTGGGTAATCTTGACAGACTTGAATAACTATAAAGCAAATACAATTGAATAGTTACATAATTGTATTCGTATAGTTACAGGATTTTAACAAACACAAAAATATATCACATTTCCCCCGCACTGTCATCACTGCACTCGTTACCGGTGTCTTTCAGAATGATTTTAAAGTGCTTTCAATGATTTACAAGGCTTTACATAACATGGCCCCTACATACATCACAGACTGGCTTTCATTGTATGACCCTACAAGGACACTCAGATCCTCTCATACTGAAAGTCTTACACAAGACATCTGCGGAGGCTGCTTTCTGTTTTTATGGCCCCAAACTGGGGAAGAGCCTCCCATTGGATTATTTGTATCTGTAAAGCACTTTGGGCAGCATCTTGCATGAAAGGTGCTATATAAATAAAGCTTATAATACCACAACAATTACCCCAAATGAAAAGCCAAATTATACAGATAGGTCTTTAATTTAGTTTGCTGTTCTAAGATCCGATGGGAGGCAGTTCCACAGTTTGGGTCCATAAAAACAGAAAGCAGCCTCCACAGTCACTGATGTATGTAAGGGCCAGGTTATGTAAAACCTTGTAAAGCCTTAAAAGGACATCTGAAAGAAGTCAAATCAATTCTGAAAGACACTGGTAACCAGTGCAGTGATGACAGCACTGGGGAAATGTGGTCCTGCAGCATTCTGAATGGATTGCAATTTCTTTAAAGATGTTTTAGGGAGACAAGTAAAAAGAGAATTGCAGTAGTCCAAGCGATTAGTAATAAAAGCTTGTAAAAGCATTCCGAGTTAAAAATGGTGTGATCCTGGCAACGTTTTTGCAACGATGTTAAAATTGCTTAAAACATGTATATCACAGTCTAAAATGACCCCCATATTGGTAACTTGTGTTTTAATATACCTGGCATGCTGTGAAATGGAAATATACAATTGTGTGTCATTGACAGAGCTAAATCCCAGATCAAATGCATGCTAAAGGGTCTTTGAGCATGTTTCTCTAAGTGATTGTGCTGTTATGTTAAATGTTTGTTTTTCATGTATTGTGTCTTGATATTTGTCTATGTTGATGTTACATAGTGATGCAAGTCAAATTTCAGACTTGATCTGACCATTAAAGTATTATCGTATCGTATCATATCGTATCGTATTATATCGTATTGTATCATATTGTGTATTAATATCAGTTAATTGTGTTGCTGGTGTTTCTTAGGCCTGCCCCTGCTGGTCCAGCGGACTATAGCTCGGACCATTGTCCTGCAGGAGACCATTGGGAAGGGTAGATTTGGGGAGGTGTGGCGGGGAAAGTGGCGAGGAGAGGATGTGGCGGTGAAGATTTTCTCCTCTAGAGACGAGAGGTCCTGGTTTCGTGAAGCAGAGATTTATCAGACCATCATGCTCAGGCATGAGAACATCTTAGGCTTCATTGCTGCGGACAACAAAGGTAAGAAATGACGGACAATTACCAATTTCAATGAAGTTAAGATTACAGTTATGAGATAAACCTGCCAATCTGTATTATCTGCTGTGTGCTGCAGATAACGGCTCGTGGACTCAGCTCTGGTTGGTGTCAGAGTACCATGAGCATGGCTCCCTGTATGACTACCTGAACAGGTACACGGTCCCTTTGGAAGGCATGATCGTCCTTGCTCTGTCCATAGCCAGTGGGCTGGCACATCTCCACATGGAAATCATCGGAACACAAGGTAAGGCTGTAAAAAGTGAATGAATGTGTTTATGAATGATAAAAACTGTTATAGCATTTATGTGTGCAATAAACCGACTATAGTAAAGAATTGTCTCACCCCAGATTCCAGCAGTGACAGTCAGCCTGTGAAACCTCAAGGCTGTTTACGATGTATAAATGAGGCTGTAATTTAGGCTTGCAGCTAAAGATTACTTTAAAATCTGTTTAGTTTAGTTTCTGCAATGTCAAAAATGTCTTTCACAGAATCAAACATTATCGCTTAGTCGAGAAAATAATCTCTCTGAGCAGATATAGAACATCTAACATATAACCCTGCTAATGTTTGGTACTTGGCTAGATAAATTAGATAAAATCATAGTGATTACTTTCCTTTCCTTTTGCTCAGTAAACCGATTGCAATTCAACTGTGTGGTTTTTTCACATAAATGTCATTCATGGCGGTGATGAATTGACTAGATTTCATGATACTGTATGTAAGAGTACTACAAAACACTTGTTCAATTGTTCTTTTTTACTTCATTTATCCTAATAGCATTACTGTATGCAACATGTTGAGTATGCGTATGAAGCAAAATACTTTATTTGTGGCCTTCTTGGTTATAGGGAAACCTGCGATTTCCCACAGAGACCTGAAGTCGAAAAATGTCCTTGTGAAGAATAACGGCACCGCAGTCATCGCAGACTTGGGTTTGGCTGTGAAACACGACTCAAGCACCAACTCCATCGACATACCGTCCAACCACAGAGTGGGAACCAAGAGGTCTTATTTACTTCCTAACACACAGTTAACAACAAATAGAAACAGGAAAATAAACTGAAATTACCTCAAGAGTGTTTAAGACCCTTGTCTCAGTATGGCCTGATTATAGCCATTCCTACACAGTTCTCATGTATTGTATATATATATATTTAAACGTTAGTCTATATTTCTTAAAGACTTATATTTGGCCCTAACAAAAGCAAAGAAGTGGTTTAAGTGCTGTCAGTGTTGTGCTTTTAAGATGATGTCTTTGTCCCTTGAGCTTCCTGAAACATCATCTTTAAATGTCTTTAGAGTCACAAATACAAAGCAACTTGTTTTTTGTTGGACTTGTTTGGCAGAATGTTTACGGAAAAACTACCGGCCACATTTTCATTGGTCTTGTTTTAGACATGTAGCAGCATGAAGCAGTGGCCTTGGCAGATGTCTTTGCTTTCCAAGTGCCCTTATACGATTTTTAATTGAGAGAACATGGTGAAACAAACTAACACTCCAGTCGGTTTAGGAAGTAAGTACTTAGGTCTTAATCATTTTGTCCTCTGAAGGTACATGGCCCCAGAAATCTTGGATGAGTCATTCCATATGAACAGCTTTGAGTCATTCAAGAGGGCGGATATCTACTCTCTGGGCCTGGTGTTCTGGGAACTGGCTCGGAGATGCTCTGTTAGAGGTACTTTAAATGGACCATGTTTATTTGCCCATCGCATGCTATTTAAGGGTGGTTATACCCTCATGTTTTTTAGTACGCTGTACATCAGTCCTGTCTTCACAAGGCAGATAAGGACAGGCATGATGAATCAAATGTCCTTTTTTTCACAGGACTGCATGAAGATTTCCAGCTGCCTTATTATGACCTGGTGCCTTCTGATCCAGCCATCGAGGACATGAGGAAGGTGGTGTGTGATCAGAAACTCAGACCCAACGTTCCTAACCAGTGGCAGAGCTGCGAGGTGAGACAGGAAAATATAACTGATGTATCCTCATGTTGTGTATTTTTCACCAACTTTATGATGATGCTCACTTATCATGAGTGTATGTATAAATGTGTAAAAGCCAGAAACAAAACCACAACATGCCATAATATGCTATTGAAGAAAAAACTTGTTCATCGCAACACAGGCACTTTTGTTTTGCAGTAGACGTGTTCATTGCATTAATGAGCACATTTTTCATTCTGAAACTTCACTTCAATGATCATTTTCGCTAAGTGAGTAAAGGAAGAGTTGGAGCTCCCCTCACTGGAGACTGAAGGCACTGTCGTCAGCTCAGCTCAGTTCAGTTTGATAAAAGCTTTGAAAGACAATCAATAATACATTTGTTTCACTTAGGCACTTTAAAATGATGAACACTGTATTTATCAGCGTAGTATGTCCCGAATTGCTAAAAAAAAACAGTGAACTGAATTCCAAAAGAAACGTCTGTTTTGACAGTGATGAAAACTAAATGTAACACATTTTTTATAATTACCAAAGCTTTGGTATTTATGTTACACAAAGTAAGAAGCCGACACTACAGCTCTGACGTTTTCGCTTTTCATCCGTCTGCTTGTTACCCACCAGGCTCTGCGTGTGATGGGAAAACTGATGAGAGAGTGCTGGTACACCAACCCTGCTGCTCGACTCACCGCTCTGCGGGTCAAGAAAACTGTTTCTCAGCTGTCCTTCAGCAAGGACGTCAAAGATTAAGTAAATTTGTTGCCCTGCTGATCACCACTGGTGCTGGCACTGGTGCGACACGAAGGACAGAGTCACAGTAACTGGGAGACGCTATTCTCTCTAACGGCCTGAGGCTGCCCTCTTCAGGAGACCACCACATTGTTCACCCTCAGAGAGCAACTTCAGGTCTGTTTTTGGTGCCAAAGTATTGTAGGGGTGTCCATGGCTGCTTTGCACATAGACAATCACTCAAAACAGTTAACCAAACAGCTGAAATGTCGCTAGAAAGTGCTATAAGAAATAAGAATATATATAATGAATAAACAGATTATTTTGCTACCTCAGACTTTTAAGTGCCCAAAGCTTAAAGTTGCACATTGTAGTATTTTTGTGCCATATCTTATAACAAATGCAGTATTGCTGAGTAGCTTATGTGCCTACTGACAATCACACATGATACTGGAAGCTTATTAACAGACTTTCCCTGATCATCTGAATTTTAAAGTGTTTGAAGTGCTTTAAAAAGTGATTGCAGTATACTAATGTTCACTGTATTGCTTGTGTTTAGTGTAAATGTTACTGTACAGGAATACAGCTGTGTGTATCCAACTGGAAGATATCTGTTAGCTTAATATATTAAATGTGAATATATCCAAGTGTTTTTATTTGTGAAATGTTACTATCCAACTATTGATTCGTATCAACATTGGATGGCAATGAGAGTTTATACGTTAGTCCAAATACTTTTGAATGGATGAAGTTAAGTAAAGACATTCCTGGTCCCCAGAGGATGAACCCTAATACATTTGGTGATCCCCCAACTTATAGTATAACTGGGGCTGATCAAAACAAAAACAAAAGTAAAGCCTGACAAACTAAGACTTGGCCTATCCTAATATAATCCGAGTAACCCCTTACATTTGGTTGGTTAGTTAAAAGCTTGACTGTTACTCTGGCGCCACCTTGTAAATATTTACACTGACTTATTGTTTTCACTTAAATTTAAGTGATAAAGCTGCCTCTCTTAGATTAGATTATATATGATTTAACACCCTAAAGGGAAGTGCATAAGCTCCTGCTTCATATATTTTGCACATTTTGCTGTAAAGAGTTGTTGAAAAACTAAATAAATGGCATCATGGTTAAAAGTTATTTGCTTTATATTTCTTAAATATATTAATTTACACTGGAAGAATTTTATTGAAATGATAAATTCTTAGCTGCCTTACTGCAGAATTCAGAACTTGAGTATTGTTAACATTGGCTTGACAACTAGGTAGTTATGTAAGAAAACAATTCACCCTACAAGCCTGATACTGTTTATGTAAAACAGCAATTAGGATAAAAGCAATATGAGCAATATAAGATCAGATCTTGATCAAGTTAAAAACACATTTTAAAAATCGTAAAACATGAGGAAAATAACAGGAGAAGAGCACAGTCTGAGTGATGGGTGCACAGCAAGGCTTTGGTCTGAAGAGGCCTTATCGTAACAGGATTAGGGAAGGTGCACATTGGTGAATCTGCATACCATGTGTGCCTGTTGCCCACATGTGTCAAAGTGTGTGTACTTGTTTCATATTGTTCAAGTTCAAATGATTCTGTGTCTAAAAATGCAACTCTGATCAATCATTTATTGTTGATTTAACCGGTGCTGTGCCGGCCCATGTTTCCCATCTATTCATCCTCAATTAATGTTCATGCTTTTAGTGGCTAAGGCAAATGCTTCCATGTCGCTGCTCAGTGTTGACACATACTGTATGCATGTCCTCCTGTTATAAAGGGTTAACCATTACTGGTGTATAGCATCAGCTGTGTTGCCTGAAAATAGGCTATGTAGCCTGTTCGCTGCTTTGAAAAAAAAGTATATCTTTTCTGTTTTCTATGAAATGATTTGTTGACTTCAATCATGGGATCATTCTATTTTGTGTGTTGCAGTTTACAGTATAATATTGAAAATGCAGTACAATAGCGTCTGGCTTCGCCTGTGTCATTTGTAAATATAAATATTTTGTATCTGATGTTCGATCTATGCTGAGCCAAGCTTTTGTGTTGTGTATTGAGTCCTATATGCTTCTCAGATAATTAATCAGGTCACACAATAGACATCTGAGCTGTTATGTTAATTGTTTGTTGTTTATTTCTTCATGTATTGTGTCTTGATATTTGTCTATGTTGATGTTACACATGGAGCTGCTGTGATGCAAGTCAAATTTCAGACTTGATCTGACCATTAAAGTATTATCGTATCATATCATATATAAAATGCTTATCTATCATTCAAAGAGGCGTGAGCACCATGTGCAATTACTGACTAGTGTCTTTTATATATTGTGTATGAAATTGCTTAATGTTTTCACATGTAATGCTGCTTTCATAAAAATAATTCCTGCTTTTAGACTTTCAAACCAATTTAGACCAATATTTTTGGATTAAAGTGAACCCATTTTATGTCATGGCTTGTTTGAATGCCTTTGCATTTATTTTTCTTCTTGCACTATTTATTCTGTATAAAAGTGACAATAAATAAACAATGAACAGTTTTTCATGGAATGAACTCTTTCCATTACTTTTTTTCATAATACAAATATTTGATTGAGTATACAAATATATATTTCAGTATAAAATGTCTCCACATTGCACTAGTTTTTTGAAGCAAAGATTGTGCAGATCTTTGCACATTACTGCACGTAGGAAAGAATTTCCCAGAGCACCTTATCTGAAACAGGTCCTTTCGTATACTTTTACCTCAAATGACGTGACTCATCCTCGCTCTCTGATCTACTGCTTTGATTGTGTAAACTGTTCATAATGTGTCCGTTATAGAGCAGGGAAAGAAAGTGTAACACTGAGACCATCAGCACTTTGCAGATGAGTCAACACCGAGCACTGCGCTGCGAGTTGCTTCAACGGATTTTACTGTTACCTCAAAGTGGAAAGGTCACACAGTGTTACCCACAGGAGCTTTATCTGCGAAAAGGATGTCATTATAGAAAATGTTACCAAATTATATTTATAGTTTAAAGGTTTCTTTGAGGTTATAGCTTTAAAGGTCCCATGTCATGCTTTTCCGGTTATTACCCGTTCCCTTGTGTGTTATGAATGTTTTTATGCATGTAAACGGTCTGCAAAGTCACAAACCCTCAAAGTACACCCTGTAGCGAGTAAAACTCTAACACAGAAAATACCCAGAACGCCTCGCTGGAGATTTCTCTTTTTCCATTGTTTTCTTCCTGGGTACAGTGATGTGCCCATACCCAAATGGACCCATTGGCCCAAATGGACCAATCCATGGAGCCGTTACGTTACGTCCGCGGAGCCGTTAGGTTAAGTCTGTGGATTGGTCCAAATGGAACAATCCGCGGACTTCCTCACACACACAATCTCAATCTTTTCTCAGCTCCGCCGATTTCTCCTCCCTGAGACGGCGAGACGCGGCGAGGATGTGAGTCGGTGTGTGAGCACACACACAAACTCCCAGCCAGGCTGCGGGTGTGTGTTCGGGCTGGTTTCGGGCTGGTTTCGGGCTGGGTTTTGCTGTCTCACAGTCTCGCAGTCTCGCAGACGGCCACTGGGCTCATAGGGAGGGGGGGCAGGGGCTCCAACAAGCCGTTTAGGACAGAGAGTGAATACACATACTATACAGAGATGCTGTATGAGAAACCAATGTGAGTTTGGAAAATTGCACAATATAAATCTATTTTAGTATATTACCTCAACAATGGAATTATGATCAGAAATGGCCATGACATGGGACCTTTAACTGTTTTTAACCTAAAAAATGTATTCTCATTTTTTCCACATTATAAAACAATGTTTATAACAAATAGGTATTAAACATACTGCAAGTTGACTGCATTGGAACCACTTGTTTTAATTAACACTGACTGCTTTTGAATACATTTAAGCACAACACGTCTACTGTGAAGCACTTAAAAATGCAATTATTGTATGAAAGGTGCTATTCAAATAAATATGATCATTATTATCAAACACAATATGCCAATATGAATAGGATGTGTGTGTTGTTTTAAGAAGAAAAGACTCATCGATGATAATGAATCCAGTGTTTTCTGTTGTCCTCACATCAAGCAGCAGGAGAGTTCATGCTATCAACAAAACGTATCTGTACTTATGGTGGACGGGAAATGTGCAATGTCCTGGTGAAATGTGGTGTCTGTGTTCCAGACGGTCTGCTGAGGGGCAGCGGGGCAGAGGGAAAGGCTGTGGGGCAATCTGCTGCAAGGGAGTATTTCAACTGGGTTCATACAGTACTGGTCCCTAGACATGTGGCTTTTGTGCATAGTGAAAGATGATCTTCTCTTCCTGCAGATTAAACACTGTGCCTTTTGTAGGCATGGGTGTGGTAGTGCGAGAAGGTTTGTGCACTTTGGTTCAGTTTTCTTTACCCCATCAGCCATTGTCTCCCTGGCTGCGGCCTGTGTGTGTGATTTCCCTTTTGAACCAACCGTGTCTGATGCCTTCGGCCCAATGACCCATGCTTTCTGTTTGGGGAGCGTGACAGTGGCCCCGAGCTAAATCAGCCTTTTGTCTGTCCTCATAAGACAAGTCTCCCTGCTTGGCAGAACACAGGACTCAGGCCGAAGCTAAGCCCATTGAGGAACTGAGAGTGAGAGAGGCTGGAAGCAGGTGCTGCTGCAAGCGTGATGTGGCAGTTTCTCATGCATTGCTGATTTCTGACAGACCATAAATCAAATTGCTTAGACTGCTAAAAAGGAAAGGGACTATTCGAAGGGGATTTATAAGAAGAAAAAAAACTTCCTTTGCTTTTCAAAACAGCGGACCATGCCTTCTCAAGAAAGAAGTTGAAAGAGGTGAAAAGGAAGTAAGGTATGTGAGATTGTGATCTGCAGATGCAGGTCCACCACAACCCTCACATGACGTGGATTTCCGCTCTGACACATTGTGCCTGTAGCTGCTCAGCGGGGCAGGGCCACACGATCACTGAAGAGCTGCTGCTGCTGCAGGACATGATGGTTCTTTGAGGGCTACTCTACCATGCAGCGCACTATGAATTTCAATGGACTTCAACGACAGAGCAGCCAAGAGAATTACATTCTGGATAATACTAGGAAGAAATGCTCCCTGTGGTCCCGACGCTCCCTGAGGGAAAACAATGATCGACAACAGAACATCACAGGCTCCCTGTCCAGAGTCAGCAAGGTGAGACAATAAAGCAGATGTAAACACACACTTGTGCAATGCAAATCAAACATAAAACACAACATTTATTAGACCTGACGTTTCTCTTATGCAGTATTGTTCATAATGAAAAGCAGTTCACTGATTTAACTGTGTAACAAAAGTATAGCATCTCTCTGCAACTGGCAGAAAGCCTTTTACCAATCGTAATCTTTTGAGTTATTTAGAAATGCAGGATCAACATTTTCGTACACTGAGCAACCTTTTTAGTTTCCTGAGAGGTTTACACTTTAATCTGTTATAATGTTTTAAAGAGGAACTCTGCATTTCTCCTTTTGCAGACAAAACTAACCCACTCCAACTCCTTGGTTGATTACTCTGACCCACAAAGGTAAATATATCAAATCTGAGGTGCAATAGATCGTAAAGGGGGGGGGGGTTCACTTTTAACCTCACAACAAATCATTGATGGAAAATTCAAAACATGACGAGTTGTTCCTAAAATATTCATTTGCATTTTGTTGTTTGCACAGGACCACGATCGAACTTGAAAAACAAGACAATGAAACATTTGGTTTTGAAATTCAGGTAATCAGATTTTATACTCTTTAAGATTAAATACATCATTTTATGCTCTCATGCTTTTTAAAACCTGCTCGATTCTTTGATATGTTTCTTTGAAAAGCATTTTTGTGACTAATGTTCCCTTGTTGCAGACCTATGGCCTGCAGCTGAAGGACAGCTCTGCAGTGGAGATGTGCACGTTTGTGTTCAAAGTGCAGGAGGACAGCGCTGCTGAGAGTGCTGGCCTGACCGCAGGTAGACCACCCACATCCTCTAAACAGGCCTTCACAGGCTTCCCATGCATACACAGAGTTAGTATGTCAACGCCTACACACACTGATGCACAGATGCTAAGCAAAGCCATGTCCTCTTCTTGTAAATGATTAGTTCCTTTTATGCATGTTCATTGTAGGAGATATTATCGTCACCATCAATGGGGTCAGCATTGAAGGATCATCTCATCAACACATACTTGATCTGATCAAAGAATCAACCAACAGTCTAAAGTAAGTGATAAAAGAAAACATTGGCTGTGCATCAAAGCACAACAGAGGATGAATCCAATGTGCAGAAATACAAATATCAGAGGATTTTCTATTGTGTGTGACCCTGTGTTTTTATGTGATTCCAGGATGGAGACAGTGTGTGGAAATGTAGTGAAGCAGATAGAGCTGGAGAAGAGGGTGAACCTGCTGAAGGTGTGTATCTGTGACCCGCCCATGTTTATTGTTAACATACTGCAGCTTTGTGGTTTTATTTCAGTGACTAAACTAAACCACCCAATCCCAGCTAAACAGCTTACTCAAACATGTCATAACTAAACCCATTGTGGGCTCTCATACTGAGCCTTGAATGTATAGGCTAAAATGTTTCTTACCAGACTTAAAACCTCAATCTTTTTTCTGGTCATACAGCAATCACTACGTGAGAAATTGGTGGAGCTACAAGCCGTTACATTACAGGAAAAACGTCTGATGCGAGGTGAGAGGATTTGTTCAGCCGTCACCCAGCACTTCCTGTCTCACATCTTTCTGTTAATGTTGTGCATTCAAGTGTAAACTCCAGATAACTGAGATAAAGGAGTTCCCCTGAAAAATGAACACTGACAAACTTCCTGTTGCAAACTTCTCGTCAGCTACAGCTTTATCTAACACTGTTGTGTTTTCAGGGAACTTGAACAACAGCAGCCTCCACCTCTCGATGGACTCATCAGGGAGTCTGAGTACTCAACGCCGGCGTTTTTCAAGTGACAGTAGCTACCGAAGCGTGATGACAGAAGACAGTGACCAGGCCAGTGTGTTTGGGGATCTGTGCTCTCCAAGCCCCTGCAGTGCAGCCAGCACCACAGACGACAGCTGCTTCTTCTCCAGAGACTTCCCCTCACAGGACGGCTCCCGCAGGTTTTCAACAAGCTCCAACCATCATCACCTGGGACGCTCCAGCAGCTCCAGCTTGGCCGGCAGCAGCAGCAGCTCCATCTCTCCTTCCTGGGAGGAAACAAGGATCTCCTCCTTGTTTGGTACCCTGCCCCGTAAAAGCAGGAGAACCAGTGTTCGTAAACACATCCTGAAGTTAATTCCTGGACTCCAGCGATCAGTGGAAGAGGAGGAGATTGGAACAAACTATTAGTGACTCACATGCTCCTTGTGTTTATTTGATACTAAGGGTTAACAAGGTTTCTCATGCTCTTTTTGAAGAAAGAGATAGACACTGTAATGAAGTGTTTCCACACACACAAGGTTTGGTTAACCCTTAAAAGAAACCTGTCTTCGCCTTCATGGGAACTCAGAGATAACTGACATTTTGGCACTTGGCATTTATCAATGTCAAAGTTGATCCAAGAGGGTCCTGAGCCTTAAAGGTGAGCCTGGCTCACTGCTTGGCTTAGACTTGTGGTTGCACAAAAGCATTATGAAAATATTCTTCCTTTGTGTGAATGTACGAATACAAGATTGTAATGTAAATAGATGAGATGTGTATCCTACTGGCTTGAATAAAAAGCTGCATTAATCAGAAGTTTGAACTGCAGTAGCTGAACTCATGTAGCACCTTGTACTTTAACATGAGTTTACTGTGACCTAAAACCCATGAGAACCATGTATATTTCAGGTCTGATACACATGTAAACAGCACTTCGGTCACATTCAGGTGCTGAAAACCAAAACCAGAGCTCTACTCCATATAGGTGTCTGCTCAGCTCATAACAGGATGTGGGTACAAGAAGTACAACTGCTCGTTCACAACATTTCTTTTTAACTTTCGGTGTTCAGAAATACTGTTTCTTGTTTCTGAATATGCTTAAATATGTATGTTTCACTTTCAATAGCAATAAAGTACGTTTTTACAGAATGTCGTGCTTTCTTTTTTGGTATCAAGTCAATAAAGTCTGTTTGCAATTGAAAATAAACGTGTGAAGTTAAACACTGTATAGTATTTTTTCCGTCAGTGATCAGATAAAGCACACTGTCTGAAGTTACCCTTGCCACAGGAAGTGTATTTAACACATTACAGAGTGAGTTACATTATAGATTTCTGTTGATGATGCAGGTAGTGCAGATCGATTATTCATATACATAAAACAAGTATTATTATGGGGACTGTTGATTGCCTGTAAAGTTTAAGTTACAACAGTTACAACACTTGAGAATAGCACCTCACACATTTCCTGTAATAAGTGTCACTTCTTTGGTTTCCTGCCTGCTAAACAGAGGGAGACAGAGAGAGGTACAGAGGGGCATCATCACATTATGAGGAATTTAACCGTTTTCCAGCACTTGATTACTATATTCACAAAAACAAAAACGTTATGCATCAGCTAAACTGAGAGACTAATCATTTAGAAATATAATAAAAATAATAATTCGAAAAGTAACAGAGAAGTTTTACCAGCAAGCTACTTAAGAGAAGTTCTTTTTTTTTTTAACGTTTACTAGTGTTGCTTATTGAGGTGGATCTAGCTTTACACAGTTAGGTTATTGAGTCCTGTGGTTTCCAACATAAGGGTTGGACCCCTCAAAAATGTCACAGGATACATTGTGGGGATTGTGACGTAATTAATGCAGGAAAATCAACAAACGTCTTTTCTTTACTTCGTCTCTTTTATTTAACCTCTGATATATTTTTTTGTTAAATAAAAAAGAGTGTTACCTCTTTGTACTGCTGATGTTTCCTGTTTCACGAAATGTAAGTGTTCACAATGTTATTTCAGCATTTTAGGTGCCTTACGAAATTATGAATGAAGGCATTAACAAGGCTTATCTGGAGCACGTGTGCAGAACCACAGTTGGTTCAGGTGAAGCTTCACTGTAAAGAAAAACTATAGGAGAATGTTAATCCAGACTGAAAGGTTACAGAATGAAGGAGGTCAACCCAGCAGGGATTATCAAAGAATAAATACAATCGCTTCATGCAGATGCCAAATACACAAGGATTCTTTGTTGGGGCCCCAACAAAACCCTCGTTCTTCAGTGTTGCAACACCCACACAGAATTACATGGTGCTAGCACTAGAGAGCACACACACGCTGGACCTTGCACTGAGACTGAGACGTAGCATGGATTCTGTTTTCACTCTGAGAATGTAGGAAAGGAGGTATTTTGGTCAAATACTTTGATTGCTGGAGCAAACGGTGTTACGATGAGAAGTCTGGTGGTTGCTTAAAATTGCCTCCGCAAATAGTCTTCAAAGGAACAACTAAGAGCATTGAAGCTTTATTATCTTCAATAGGTAAAAGTAGAACAGAAGGATGGATATGGAGACAAGCACAATTCCTCCAAAGCCCCCCAGGCTGGCAGTAGATGAAGACATACTTGCATCCCAGGTACTAGAGATCATCGGTGGGATCACTCGTGAAGCCCTGCAGACCCTGGAGGAACCAGAGGAAAAAGACGTGTGGTTAATGGAGGAGGGAGATGACTCTGTGTTCTACAGTGACGAGGACCAAGTTCATCAGGACATTACAACTTGTGGTTTTGGTGCCAACGGGTGCAAGCCTCTTGTCAACAGTGTGGCAGATGTTGAGGAAGAGCCAGGGGAAGAATACATTACTGACAAAGAAAGTTCAGAGTTGAAGGAGGAATTGAATCAGCACGTCATCGTGGATGAACAAGAAGAGGAACGCCAAGAAGGCCAAACAGTAACAACTCAACCCATGGATCAGTCAGATCCACAAACAGAGTCTGATCTAACCTCAGAGAAGTCAGAGAGGCCCTGTGGAGAATCTTCTAAGTGCACTATTGCAGAGATGCAAACCGAACAAAACACACCAGCTGAAAAAGGTAAGAGTAACTTATTTATATTGTGCAGTAACATAGATTGCTTTACAGGGCGGTTTTTGTTTACAGATGCAAAACAGTTTTCCCCTCTCTTTTATTTTCAGTGAATCTACCAGTTGAGAAAGAAGAAGTCACACCAAACCCTGAGCCCTCTGCTGTCACTAATGAGCGGGGCTATGACAGGCTGAATGGGGAGGCAGACCTCCCACAGCAGATGTCTAATGCTGATCTCCAGGTATCAGGTGACAGGCCGCTTCAGGTGGAGCCAGAGCAGGAGCGCAACTTCCTCATCCCTGGGGGGTTTCATCAAAAGCTCAGTCCAGGCTACTCCACTCTGCCCCTGCCGAAGAAATCGTGCAGCAGCGACGGCGACCAGAAATCCTTCAGCCACCTCACTTCCTCTAAATACGGCACCGTGTCCTACCGCAAGATCCGCAGAGGAAACACCCGCCAGAAGATAGATGAGTTTGAGTATATGATGATGAATTTGTAAGAAGATCTAACTGATTGAGCATCTTTACCATGTGGTAGAAAGTTTACATATTTATTTGTTTGAAACATCTAATTGTACAAAGCATTAACATTTCTGATGTAACTTTAGGGTCACACAAGATTTCCAAATGAAGAGCATTATTTATATCAGCTGTGCTTTATCTGATTTGAGAGCAATGCTTAAAAAACATCTGTATGTTCTGCTTTTCATTTGATGGTTTTATGTGGGAAACATCTTGTTATGTAAGGCAGGTATTTGGGCAGTGGATTACACTAAATAAGATGCTCAGGGCTTTATAATCCTACTCGCTATAATAACTATACGATGTTTGGTATTCAAACTTTAGCATCTTAACCTCTAGGGTAAGAATTAAGAAGAGATTAACCAAAACATCATGCATACTTCATGTCTTAGTAATGGCAACTGTATTAAAAACAAATAAAAATATATAGCTTATTAAATCAAAAAAGAAATCTCTTTTATTTTTATGCATTTCCATCATTATCTGGTTTAAGGCTTTTGATAAGAGGCCGCACAATCATGATATAACATCACAGGTTTGTTGTGTGTTTTAAACCAACACTTCCCTCTAGTGACAAGAAGACATTCATACAAATGGACCGCTTTTAGAAAAAAAAAACACACCAAAAGAATGCAGCATTAAAAACCATAGAAGAACCCCATGTGCCTCGTCAAACACAAAAGTACATGACATGAAGAAAAGATTATGTTTCGCTGAAAACATGTGATATGTTCAATACATTCTATATTACATGCAATTAGTCCCAGCACAAAATGAAGAGAATGAAAATCACTTTGTACATCTGACATCTGATAGGCACTGTTTATCTTTGGTAGTGAGATATGTTGTGCTTAATATAAAGTGTTCACAGACATTGACCAGAATCCCTTTGACAATCCCCGGTTCAAATTGTTCCAAAACAGAGAGGAGATGCTGCCTTTCCTCTGGCACACAAGTTTAAAACTCTACGCCAGTCCATGATGATTCCTGCCACCAAAGCGCTTCCCTCCTCTGGACAGTGGTGTGTTGAGTCTGAGCTGCAGACTGTAGTGTAGGCCACTGAAGGTCTCTATAGTGCATGTGTGACACAGTTCAGTCTCATCACTAAGCGTGGTAGTGTGTGAACTGCCACTTCTGGAAGGCATTTCCGGTTTCACATGGATTTAGGCGAAGAGTGTCACCCAGAGGCCCCGCCTCCAGGCACATGTGTTTGGATACAAACTCTGCTATGAGGTGCTCCGCCTTGACAAAGACAAAACAGGAAACATGATTAATGAGCGAAGCTTTAGCCTCTAAACAATCTTTGATTCCCTTTCCCTTATTGTGACAAAGGTAACTTCGTCACTGTGGACTCATGGCTTCGGGGCTTGTAATATTGCACATGTGGTTTAGTTTGAAAGTGTTCCCCCTCCCGTTTTGTCTGTGGCTGGTGATGGGTTCACCTCCTCCCCCCCCACCTGTGTCTTATTGGCCTGATTAGTGTGTGTGTGTGTGTGTGTGTATTTAGGCTCTGTTTTCCCTGTCAGTGGACAGGGTAGTGTGTGTGAGATCCTTGTGGCTGCTGACTGTTCAGGTGGACAGCAATTGAGGCTGTGAATCATGTGCCCATGATTTGAATAAATGCCCACACCGGGTTGTATTTGGACGTTCTGCCTCTGCCTCCTTGCTTGGTCGGACCCTGCTAAACCCTTGTTACTGTTACAAGGTATGTATCTTGTATTTTGTAGATTGTGTAACTTGCTGCTGTTAAATACCGTCACACTATGTGCAATATGTGCTTTATGTGCAATATATACTTTATATACATATGCCATCTTTAATAACTGTAGTATATACCGGGCTGCTAAATCCTAAGAACTGCTACAGGATTTGATTTGTAGATTTGATTTGTATTTTAGAAAATTATGTAACTTCTTTTTTTTTTTTTGCATATTGTTTATTATATTATAACTTATTACTTTTTTAGCATATTGTTTATTATATTATAACTTAGTACTTTTTTAACGTATGTCTGTGGCTCTTTCCTGCTGTAACGCTGCAAATTTCCCCTCTGTGGGACTAATAAAGGTATTCTGATTCTGATTCAATGGTCAGTCTCACACTTATACCAAACTGAAACCAACTTCATAAAGCAAGCCAGTCATGTTGTTTGAAATAAAGTAAAGAAAGAGAAAGAAGTAGTAGACAACACAAAGGCATACCCAGAGTCGACCTACCAGAGCGGAGTTGGATGATTTGTGGAACCAGCGATGCTCAGGCTTGTCGTTGTCACATAATTGTAAAGCGAAGCTGCTGCCCTTGCCTTGGGGAGCGAGACATAGATCTTGCTGCCGTATGTGCCTCGTCCAGGTGTAATTAAAGTGCTGACTCTAAATACCAGAGAGAAAGAGAGAGGAGGGACAAGGATGTAATTAGGCTCCATGAAAAATTGAAGATTTTTGAAGGGCAGCTCAGTGTTCTGCTGTGAACCCCAAAAGACCACGTATAGAGGCCTGGTCTGGCTGGGACTCCTCCCTTGTTTATCGTGGCTTGGGTCCTGTCTTGGACTCTGATTGTCCTGATCCAGGTTTATTCCTGGATATTTTTGTTCTACGCCCCCCATAATTACCACAGGCAAGAGGCCATGATTGCACAATCACCGCATACTTTCCTCTGAAACACTATATCACTTTTGCTTTTTTTTGCAGTTAAAACATTAGTAAAATAAACATTTAAAACCTGCAATGTCTTCTGTGCTCTTAACATTTGTTGCACTTGCATGTGAGCTACAGAACTATCTTAAACTAAATATTTGTTTAAGCATTTAAGCTCTATTTGACAAGTGAATGCACATGTGCTGTAACTGAACACTTCTAGTTCATAGTTGGAGGTAATGTGCCATTTGTTTCAAGTCTGATGCTTGAGAAAGTCTGGATCTGAAGGGGAGTATTCCTGGTAAAATAAAGGTTACATCAAAAATAAAAATAAAGAATAAAAAAAGCACACCCACCTGCTTGCTGAGATCACATTTATCAAAGGACAGAGAGCCTTGCTGCATATTGAGGCATTTTCTCAAGCCCTGATTAAAGACCTACAAGGAGAAATTAGATTAAAATAAAACAACACAGAAGTGAAACACCAGCACTGCAAACATTTCTTCACTCATTTGAATTGGGTATGACAATGAGCCTTGTTCTCGTTTCTTTCGATGAATCCTGACAGAAAGCTATTGTTCGTTCCAAAGAGAACAATCATAGTCTCTGTTTGGGTCCAGAGCCAACAATAGCTTAAGGGAGGGAAAGTATAACAAGCTTTCCTTTTAAAGAAATGTTAATGTGAACAAAGTGTATTCCTCTACATACCAGGCCTTCAGCTTTGGCTAAAGGAGCGTTCATATCTGGAAACACGTTGTCCAGGTACCACTTGAAGCTCTTGCACTGGAGCTTCTTCCTCAGCTCGATCTGCTCGGTGAGATCGCCGATGTTGGTGTTCTTTTTATCCAGCAGGTGGTGGTAGCCGTGGCCGTAGAAGAGGTCCTTGTACTCATCCAGCCAGACCTCTGCCACCCTGGCCAGGTTACGCTCCACCGTCTTCTGCCGGTCTTTCGGGAACTTGTAAGGATTCTGTCCTCGGAAGATGTGTCCCACTCGAGAGCAGGGGATGATCTCGATCTCCCCTCCACACATCCAGATCTGTTCAAATGGTAGGATAAGGCAGCATGTGAGTGAAGCTTCCAAACACCTGTGGCCAATATTTGTGTATGAAATTAAAAGAATGACATACCTTGGCTAATAAATAAAGCTAAATATAGCTTGTTTGTTTGTTTATTTATCTGTTTATTTTTTGTTGTTTTATGTTTTTCAATAACAAATGTATTTCTTTAAGAAAAAAGAAAGAAAATAATATATATATATACAGTATATGTTAGTCATTTAGTTTTTGGGAGAAGGGGTGGGATTAAATAAGTGTAAACTTCTTCCCACCCCTTTTCGGATGTGTAATTAAGTAGATTATTGGTTTATACATAATTTAGAATCAGTAATATTTTTGTATATCAATATGATACTGATACATTTTGTGTTGTTAATAATTCTCAATTTACATTTTTGTATTATTGTTTTACACATTCAAAATAAATAAAATAAAATACCTTAAATGAAATCTCCATGTTTTCCCCACCCCACACATCCAGTCCGGGATCATAGGTGCCGAGCTCATAGAAGTATTTCTTGTCTATGGAGAAAAGGCCTCCAGCCATAACGGGACATCTGTAGGATAAAATTAAATAAATGTTAATCAAGTTGAACTAATAATAGAATGTGAATATTCAAATGGACTGTTTTAGGTACCTGATGGGATCGGAGATGCTCATGTTATTCTTCTTAATGTACTCCTCTGGTAATGCGCTCCAGCCAAACACCAAAGGCCATTTGAAAACACCTCTTTGGAAGTTGTCAACCAGCATATAACTGAGGAACAGAAGCTCCAATGTCAAAATAACATTCTCTTTAAAACGAATATCACATCATGTCAATGGCTTGAGAGATATGGCAGTGTTGAGTCACCTCATGTCCTTATCACTGACAACTTCAATAACCGGACAGGGCACCTTCTTACGATCCAGGTAGATTCTCTCCAGCAGCGGCTCCAGCCAGCCCACGTTACACTCAATGTGGGAGTCGAGGAAGGTAAGGACCTCGCCTATAGTAAGGGGTTAGAAAGCAAACATCCTGGTGTAGTTAAACAAATAGCCCCATGTGCGACAGTGCAACCGTTACGACTCCTATCAAAAGGTTAATTGAGAGCCAGTTGCTTGCTCAAGTATGTAAGTAACGTGCATAACACAGCATGTGGAAAACGCGTGTGTTTCTACTTAAGAACATGATGTGGAGTGCAATTCAGTGTGACTTATGGTATTGCTTCAATGTTTTAGTTCTGTATTTGTTGCAAGACTATCCATGAATGATATTCCACACAGTTAAATGTGTGGAGCAAGTGCACATACTTGCAAGCCGTTTGGGTTTACAAGTTCCAAAGACTGGACCACAGACTGTCTGAATCATTGTCTCTATTTAAAATGAATTTTGCCAATGTCAACCTGACATTTCA